AACTCTGTACGTAGCTGTGAACTACGTAGGGAATCATGTGACAATGTCGGTATTGGAAGAAAGGAGTCTCGAAAGTATCTGTAATATGAGAATAATTTCACGTCACAATTTACATAATCGAATTTATAATATTAATTATTCATCGTTCAAATAAAAAAAGATAAAATAAAATAAAATTACATGTCGTATCTTGAGACGATGAGTATGTCGGGGCACACGAAGAAGTGCTTGTGCGAGCCCCCGGATGACCTCTTTCCCTGTACTCCCACTTCGACGGAGCACACGAAGAAGTGCTCTTACGCCCCGGCTTACGACCTGTTTCCGTGTACCCCGATTGCGATGGAGCACACGAGAAGTGCTTTTACGCCCCGCCGCCAACTCGATGGATCAGGTTTTGTTGAATTTTTCTTCTTGGGGCGACCTCTCGGATTTTCCTTAACTTCAGGTTCTTTGTATCCCTGTTCATCAGGATGAAGTTGAGAGGCGATGACATGGTTCAGGTACCGTATAGTCGCAGGATCGGCCACTTCAACCTCCTCGACAAGCCGCCGAAAATAATCATGATCAGTCCATCCACTCGCCGATGCACTATGCTGACCTGTCCGTACCGAAAAATATAAAAAATTATACAATATGATCTATCAAAAATTCTATAAATGAAGCAATACGTGCCGTAAAAAAAATTAAACAATATTTAATAAAATTATATTCTTTACATGATGTTGTATAAATTTATTAATTTCGCAAGTATACCTGGCTCCGTCACCACTAGTTTGCTCCAGAACCTGTGGATGTCGTTGGGCGTAATCTCTCTACCTTCAATGTGTGCCTCCCTTAGGTCACAGGCACAAGGAAGTCCATGAGTGTATTTTAGCGCACAATCGCACAGATTCGAAACATCTTTGCCAAGTCTCGCATCTTATGAAGCTCATCATTCAATATATCCATACAATAATGTGAGACTCGCAGTTTCAACTGCTCGAAAGGGAATCCCCTGTAGCCCGTACTCATCCTGAGTCTCGAAGACTCTAGCGTCTCCCTGGTAATACATAACTTAAATTATTAATATATTCTAATAATTAATATATACATAATATTTATATATTTATTTCTTAAATAAATATATATATTTTTTTAAAAAGCAAAAAAAAAACACAATAAATATATATATATATATAATATATATATATATATATTTAGATATATATTTTCTAAAAACTGAAATAACTACTACATATTTTTTTATAATTAATGCATTAATAACAAACACAGTCTGACTATAAAAACTTAAAGAATATGCCTGACTTTAGTCAATTGAGACTCAATCTCCTTGTCAATCTTCTCCCAAACAGTGTCGAGCGAACCGGTGGACGTCTCAAGCCACCGCTTCAACGTAGCGTGGGAACTCTCCACCCTACACGACGTTGTGTTGCCAAAATGTAAGACATTGTCCGTCCACACTTTGACAAACTTCTCCTTGTGCACTAGCCATGTCTTATCCACATAATCCAACACACGAGGAAACTTTGTGTATGTAACAGCCATATCGTTTAGGGCAGTTTTGTATTTCTCCCACGTGTTCGCTTGGACAACCTTCTTCCACTTGCCGTGCGTGAACTTCTGCGCGAAGATATTTTTTTTGTTCGTCAGCCGATAGACCTTGTCTTCCACGTCCTTGTTGATGTGCCACATGCAGAGTAAGTGGGGCGTCGTTGGGAAATTCCTCTGAATAGGAGTAATCAACCCCTTCTCCCGATCACTGACAATGACTGAAGGTTGTTTATCAGACTCTATCATCAGTCTCAACCGCTGTAGGACCCAGTCATAGCTATACTCGGTCTCGTTATTCACAATTGCATAAGCAATTAAGAAGTTCTTATTGCACGGGGTCATTCCAATCATCTCAACCAACGGCATCTGGTTCCTGTGCAAATGAAAATCGTAAACAATTTAGAATCATTAACACTATTTAATTAAAATGCGAATCAAAATTCTATACAATTTTGAATGCTTATCTCAAAAACAATATTTAATTAAACTATCATTTAATAATATTTGACCGATTTATGTTTTTATAGATTTTATTGATTTTTAATACAATCTTATTATATTTATTTTCTTTTCATTTTGTAATAACATCAACCGAACTTTTTTTTAAGAAACTCGGAAAACTGAAGCCGCAATTGTTGACAATTTCAT